CCTATCTCTCCACTCCTCCTCCCCTCCACCACATTCCCCCTCCTCTACTTCCTCCGCCTCCTCCCCCAAGACCACCTTCTACCCTCCCCCTCAACTTCCTTTCTGTACCACCTCCCCCTTTTCTACCTCCTCCTCCACTACCTTTTCCCTCATCCTCTACCTCTTCCCCTTCTCCCCCTCCTCCTTTCCAACTACATTCTCCCTCGTCCTCTACCTCCTCCCCTTCTTCCCCTCCTTCTCCACTACCCCTTCCGGGCCTTCCTCCTGTACCACCTTCTCCCCTCCTCATATACGTCGTCCCTCTTCCGCTATTTTCTCCCTTGCTCATACATATTAACTGCCTAATATTGGCACTCCTTGGCCTTTCAACATTGAGTCGCGCTATCTTCAATATTTCTGGCGAAGGCAGCCTCCAGTTATATATAGAGCCATAAATAAAATTTACAGTGTGAAACTGTGAATACACAGTACGTGCCACTGGCGCTGAGAGGGTCTATGTCCCCCAGGGTACTACCGGAACGTACCCTGGCCCTGGGTACGGTCCGGTATACCGGAACCGCAGAACGTACCCTGGTACCCTGGTACAACGTGATTTATATGCTCTGCTGGTACTATCTAACCGGTACTATCTACCGGACCGTACCTCGCCTACTCCACTAACGAGTCTAGGGAGTCGCCTACGCCTACTCCCTAACCCCAAACCTAACCACATCAGATAGGCCTAGTTATCAGTGTACGTTCCGGTATACCGGACCGTACCCAGGGTACGTTCCCGGTTCCGGCAGTACCTTGGCCCTGGGGGACATAGACCCTATGAGCGCCGCTGGCACTGCCAGTGCAGTTAGTTTAAGGCAGTCGCTACGGGTACGGTAGCCGTATCTTAATGTCTCGAGGCTACGGGTACGGGAGTCCATTCGCTTTCATACTTAACGAGACAAAGATGGCGGCGGTGGCGCCAGATTTCGAAATAACGCCTTGGGAAATATATTCACGATTTGAGAGTTTAGATGAGCTAGAACCCTAACCGTCTGTCGAACCGTAGTCGTCTACCCTAGAGGCACTACATAAGTATACCAAGTTTGGTCACGCTAGGTCAATTAGGGGTCGAGTTATAGAGCAGAAGGGAAATTCTCTGCGGCAGACCGAGCGGCGGCGGCTGGGGAGATATGAAACCATAGTATCCCCGCCGACTTCGTCGCGGGGGATACAAATATAATGCCAATATGAGGCAATATCAAGGAATATAATACCGCTGATGCCATTTGAGTACATGCGCTTATAAATTGCGTGCGAGTAGTAAGTAGTAAGTAAGTGAAAACTTTATTTAACGACGGTAAAACATGTTAGGTACAGACACAATAAATTGGCGCGGACCTATATTCCACATGGCCGTCTCAAATGCGAGCGTGCAGTGGCGAATTTACATCATGTAAAAGGCAGGCGGAGAGTGAAAGAGAATGGGTAGGGAATCAGGAGTGAATGTGAGCGAGAGAGAAAGGGAAGGAGAGAAACGGACTGGAAGGGAGAGAGGAAGGAAGGGGCGGTTAAGAGGGAAGGATTTCTTTCTTCACTTAAATTTCATTTTTGGACGGCTTATATAACTCACAACAAACACACCTCTTCAAAAAACGCAACTTTTGATAGTAACATTCGCTTTCTCACTTCCTGGGATGTTTATTCGAGACCCTAGCCACGGAGCAAGCCATATACGACTGCAGCATTACGGTCACAACAGGTGCCAATTGGCAAATCCACTCTTATGCATAAATCCATGTTTTCTGCATATGTCGTCGCTTCCCACGAGCTCTCAGATGAAACACCTTCAGCGCTCTTTACTATATATTGTCTCAGGACAAACTAGCATCGCATATCCTCTGGACCCGCCACATAATGAGATTGTTTAAAAATCTCAAATACCGGTGCAGCGTATTCATGTATGGGCCATGAGCACAATGTATATTTTGGGCTGAAATCTTTTGCCAGGCCAGACAAATTCATAATTAGACACGAATACGACTTGGAGAAAGGATGTCCAGGGCCATGCTCTCCTGGGGAATTATGCAAGTTGCAACACGGATCATCCCAGTGCATTCTAAGATCTAATCTTTGGACAAATCTAAAAACAAAACAGTAAAAATTTACAAATATTTGCAGTAAAATCAACAATTAATGTAACATCGTTTTAAATCCACAAAAAACATGTGAATGTCTAGTGTAAAGCTTTGGAGACAGTGACACGTTACTACATCACGAATACACACACACACACACACACACACACACACACGCACACGCACACAGTATATAGTAAGAACAAACCTGGCCAGATTACAGATGAAAGTTTCATAATAACGCGTTCGATCGATCCTATGCTATAGATACTCGTAAATACAATCACAAACCCGACTGGGCACGTGTCGCTACGCGCAACAACAAAAACGTAATCCACATGCACATTTACACCGAGAAGAAAAGGGAGCGAAAGGGGGATAGCAATAGCGAGAAATAGAAGTGAAAACAAATGATGGATCGAGATCGACAGAAGGGAGAGATGAGGAGAGAGAGAGAGAGAGAGAGAGAGAGAGAGAGAGAGAGAGAGAGAGAGAGAGAGAGAGAGAGAGACATAGAGCGAGCGAGAGAGAGAGAGAGAGAGAGAGAGAGAGAGAGAGGAGAGAGAGAGAGACAGAGAGCGAGCGAGAGAGAGAGAGAGAGAGAGAGAGAGAGAGAGAGAGAGAGAGAGAGAGAGAGAGAGAGAGAGAGACAGACAGACAGACAGACATAGACAGAGAAAGACAGGAAGAGTGAGAGCGCGCGCGAGAGAGACACAGAGAGAGAGAGAGAGAGAGAGAGAGAGAGAGAGAGAGAGAGAGCGCGCAGAGAGAGAGAGAGAGAGAGAGGAGAGAGAGAGAGAGAGCGGCGCAGAGAGAGAGAGAGAGAGAGAGAGAGAGAGAGAGAGAGAGAGAGAGAGAGAGAGAGAGAGAGAGAGAGAGAGACCGGTAACTATGATGATGGCAATTCAGCAATTCGATTCGTTGACATTTCCTCTTCTTTTCTTTCTTCTTCTTCTTTCACTTCCTCTTCCTCTTCGTCCTCCTTTCCATCCTTCTTCTTCTTCTTCTTCTTCCTCCTCCACCCACTCCCCTTCCTCCTCCTCCTCCTCCTCCGCTTCTTCCTCCTTTTCTTCGTCTTCGTCTTCTTTTCATTCTTCGAAGTTCTGATCGCACACACCATCTTGTATAGATGATATTAGCCTTATATGAGATATATATATCGTATATTATTATAAATAATATGATGACCTTACTTGTCACGTGTACACGTTATGTGTGACGTGGCAATAATCGAGGTCACATTGATACTGCAACACGTCACTGCTCTCTACCTATAGTTCAAAACTTGGTAGATTTCAAATCCAAAGGATAGACCTTTGTCATCGTCGTCTTGTGCGTTTCTTGTTGCTCTCCGTTTTGCGATTTTTTCTTGCCGCAGAGCGAATTACATCCGTACACGGCGAGATCGTAAACGAGTTCGAGAAATTCGAACAGCGCTAGTATTGAGATGCCGACCCACAGGCCCAGCGTCCCACCGATATTACTCACAAGGGGGGTGAACTATGACAAATTTGTGAAATATATTTTTACCCAGCGATGAATGGGAATTTATGTTATTAATCTCGAGGTTTGCCAATCGACGTAGTATTTATTAATACAGACTGCAAAATTTGATCCAAATTTGATTCGCAAGATTTGAAGTGAATTGAAGTTCCAACTGATTGAAGTGCACGTGGTAGGCGTGTCAACCGAGCATTATAGCTTATTAGAATGGCCATCTATACTTTTTTATAATCCCGGTTTTTTCACAAGAGATGTATAAACTATGATAATAGGCCTACAGTTATACGATATTGTTTTTCTATTTTGGATTTAATAGCTGCACTATGTCCATATTTTGCCTTTCCATTTGATATGAACAAACATGGCATTTCGCGACTCCATATGTTACCTCGTGAGCAGTTTTGGTGCGACAGCTAAGAGGCAAATCGCTCGCATGTTTTAGATGTTTAAATACTCTAAACGCATTTTCATCTGGCAAGACCTTTGTGTTTGTTTCACAGCTAAACCTCTCATGTCCTTTCCTTCATGTCTCACCGTCAACCTCACACCTAACATGTGACACTGTCATTTTACGCGCGTTTTACTCGAGATTTTCTGTTTTTCTTTTGCAGTTGGTGGACTTTGTGTAAAAATATATGACACCTAATTAGCGAGATATTACCAGAAGGTGAATAATGACAAATTTGTCATTATTCGCAAATTTGTAAACATATTTCACAAATTTGTCATAGTTCACCCCCTGATATGACCTATTCACGACATGTTTAATGAATGACGTAAACGTTACCTTTATGTAGGCGGATTGCTGAATGTGCTCTACGCTCAAATCAGAGAAATATATCTGTATCTTCGCAATGTTATCTCTGCAGAGAAAAACGACGAGTCTCAGAGAGGGATTTTCGTTCGTAGAACGCGTCGTGTATTTCCATCGTAACACCAGTGCAGTGGCAGCAGTTTCTTGTTAGTTAACAATCTCTCTCTCTCTCTCTCTCTCTCTCTCTCTCTCTCTCTCTCTCTCAATCTCTCTCTCTCTCTCTCTCTCTCTCTCTCTCTCTCTCNTAATAATATAGGCGCGGTATAAATATTGCCCTTCGAATTCTCTAACCGTTACGACCAGTTTCGTTCGTGACCCTTTGCAGTTGCTTGTTGATCTAGTACTGGGAGTCTCTCCTGTCTCTTTCTCTCTTCTCGAGCGCGCGCGCGCTCGCTCTCTCATATCCCTCTCCTCCTCCCTTCCCCCTCTCACCGTCCACTCTCCCTCTCAACCGTCCTCCTCATCCCCTCTCCCTCTCCTCTCCCTCTCGCCTCTCCCTCTCCTCTCCCTCTCCCTCTCCCTCTCCTCTCCCTCTCCCTCTCCCTCCTCCCTCTCCTTCCCTCTGCCTCTCTCGCTCCCCTCCCCATCCAGCCTCACTCTCGCTCACTATTTCCCACTCTTCTCCCTCACTCTCACTTACCCCTCGCCCTTCTTCACACCCCCTGCTCGCCACCACTCACTCACCTTCACCTCACTCACTCACTTCACTCACTCACTGCAACCCATGTTGCCACTCACTCCCCCTCCACGTCCACTCACGATCACTCACTCACATCACTCACTCACTCATCAACTCACTCACTCACCACGTCACGTCACTCACTCACTCCATCCGCTCAATCACTCACTATCACTCGCTCGCTCGCACTGTTTTCGCATACGCGTCCATGTTTTTAGGTTCTGACCGTGTGTCTGACTGGTGACTTTAAACACACAAAGCGTGATAGAGGGATGAGAGAGAGAGGAGAGCACGAGGAAGAGAGAGAGAGAAGAGACGGAGAGAGAGAGAGAGAGCCGAGAAGAGCGGAAGAGAGAGAGAGAGAAGGAGAGAGAGGAGAGAGAGAGAGAGTAGAGAGAGAGCAGCGAAGAGAGAGCCACCAGAGAGAGCAGAAGAGAGAGAGCCAGAGATGAGACACCAAAGAGAGCCAAGAGAGAGAGAGAGCGAGCGAGAGAGAGAGACCGGGGGAGAGAAAGAGAGAGACGGAAGAGACCGAGCAGAGAGAGCGAGAGCGCGGGAGAGAGAGAGAGAGAGAGAGAGAAGATAGAGAGAGAGAGAGAGAGAACAAGAAACTGCTGCCACTGGTGTGTTACGATGTAAATACACGACGCGTTCTACGAACGAAACATCCCTCTCCTAGACCTCGTCGTTTTTCTTCTGCAGAGATTAACATTGCGAAGATACAGATATATTTCTCTGATTTGAGCGTAGAGCACATTCAGCAATCCGCCTACATAGAGGTAACATTACGTCATCATTAAAACATGTCCGTGAATAGGTCAACTATGACAAATTTGTGAAATATGTCACAGAAATTGCGAAGTAATGAACAAATTGTCATGTATTCACCTTCTGGTAATATCTCGCTAATAGGTGTCATAATATTGTTTACCCCCAGCGATGAATGGGAAATTTCATGTTATGTAATCTCGAGGTTTGCCAATCGACGTAGTAATTTTAATACAAGACTGCAAATTTTGATCCAAATTCTGCATTCGCAAGATATTGAAGGCTAATTGAAGTTCCCACTGATTGGAATGCGAAGTGGTAGGCGTGTCAACCGAGCATTAAGCTTTTAGAATGGCCAATCTATACTTTTTATAACCCTTATAATATTATATTACTATTATATATATATATATATATATATATATATATATATATATATATATATATTATTATTATTATTATTATTACCGCGAACACTTACAGAATGACTACGCCGTAGTTGCTCACTACGGGACCGTCGTTACCATCGGTACCCTGCTGTCGCAGCAGCTTCATCGCCGAGTGCTGTCGATTATAGCGACCGGCGACGGTGCTCTACCGTTAATCAAGGTAATTAGGTTAATTAAGTCACGTGTATGTAAGAGGGGGAACAAACTTCCGATTGTGCACTCCCGATGAGGTCGATCGCTACATAGTGAATAGAAATCACTGCATATACAGCTGGGGACGTAGAGATAATGTGCTAGTTAGGCTATCTGTATTTTTATTTGGTTCGTTACATACATCGGCTGGTATATTTTGTACTACAGAAATGTTTTGTTTTTTTCGAATCTGGGGATTTCATCCAGCATGTATATTGTTGGTGACAGCTAGCACCTGACGAACCTGTTTCGATCAAGTATACTCGCGATTAAATTAAAACGTTTTTAGTCGCGTTTATATAACACGTTTTAAGCTACGTACGCGTTTGCATCACTTTTATAGATTCCAAATTGGCCACTGCTCGTGCAATACTAATTTAGTTGTTCTCACCGAGGGCTTACCAGGAATGCATTCGATGGCCACTTCGCTATCATAATGTCCGTGTCGTAAAACGTCTCCCTGAATTATGGAATATATAGAAAATCGTGTACGAATTATCATCACAATATCTCGAATCATCTTGTTATCCTGGCCATATATTTATTATTCATACGGGTGAGCGGTATGTTCCTGAGCATTCATCCACAATTCGATGAGAGGTTGAAAATAATTACTAACGAAAAATATTGATATTAATATCGGAGTGTATCAAAACAAATCGTTGCAGATAAAAACGTGCGTTACGAATAAAAAGAAACTCGACTTTATTCACTCTTGTTAATATTGATAATGACGACCCGACGTTACACGTTTGGCTACTTATTAGCCACCGTAGAGGAAACGTATACGTTGAAACGCTCTACCTATGGAACGGACAGCTTCCCCCAACCTTTGCGAAAACCTGCTCCACTTTCCATCTGCTGCGCTATATACTCACTCGCACGCACTGGACAAGACAGTCCTTATCTCCCCTGTAGTAGGCCTGCTCCTGTTCTGTCATGCAACACCGTTGGATCTGTGAATCATTCACGAATTAGTCGCTGCCGTCTGAACAGACCAATAAATCGTTTACCCTATAATTATTTCAAAGTGCGTGTGCGGGTGTGCAAGGTGCGCTTGCCGTCTCTCTTTCTCTCTCTCTCTCGCTCTGCTCTCTCATTCTTCTCTCTCTCTCTCTCTCTCTCTCTCCTCTCCTTCTCTCTCTTCTCTCTCTGTCCTCTGCTCTCTCTCTCTCTATCTCTCCTCCGGCTCTCTCTCTCTCTCTCTCTCTCTCTCTCTCCCTACCCACTTTCTCTCTCTCTTACCCTCTCTCCCTATCTCGCTGTTTCTCTTGAACGCACGCTCTCTCTCTATCGAGCTCGCTCTTTCTCTCTCCACCTCTCTCGTTCTCCCCTCTCTCTCTCTCTCTCCCTACCCACTTTCTCTCTCTCTTACCCTCTCTCCCTATCTCGCTGTTTCTCTTGCACCG